GCAACCGCAAGAAGACGGGCAGGTAGAAGAAGAAGGAGAAATCAAACCAGTAGAAACATGGTAGATCAACCAACGAAATCCCTTCTGGAGTACGGTATTCCTGATACGACTACCGGAATCCTTTCTAGCATCGTAAGACCACCTGTGACGGCTCAGCACTTCGAGCTCAAGCCGCAATTCATCCAGTTCATCTCCAATGATTCATTTGCAGGGCTATCACATGATTGCCGAGTAAGTCATATTGATAGATTTTTAGAGAAATGTGATACCATGAAGATGAATGGTGTTACAGACGATGCTCTTAGACTTCGCCTTTTTCCTTTTTCATTACGGGATAGAGCGAAGGAATGGCTGAGAGATGAAGGTTCTGGCTCATTTGACACATGGGACAAATTGGTGAAGGATTTCCTAGTCAAGTTCTTGGGACAGGAAAAGACTGCAAGGTTGAGAAACGAGTTATCCACTTTCAGGCAGTCAGATGATGAGTCCCTGTATGACGCATGGAGGAGATTCAAGCGTTTGCAGAGACAATGCCCTCACCATGGTATTCCTGAATGGATGTTGATCCAAACTTTCTACAATGGCCTAACTCATGAGTTCCGAATCTACATTGATGCTGCATCTGGGGGCTCTCTCTTGACAAAGAACCCCACTGAAGCAAAGGAGCTTATAGAGAAGATGGCAGCCAACGATAATTATCATCCAGGAGGCCGAAACACTGTGAAAAAGGGAGGTAAACTTGATGTTGATGCCTTAACTATGCTAACTAGTTCTGTGCAGGCACTAACAAGCAGGTTTGATAAGTTCCAAGCTGGAACCTCTACTAGCCCACAGGAGTTGTGTCAATTGTGTAATGTGCAGGGTCATATTGCACCAGATTGCCCGCAGATTTCGCAGAATACAGAGGAGATGTCAATCGAGCAGGCCAATGCTTTCTACTCCTCTAACCCCAAAAGGCCCTATGACCCCTATTCCAACACCTATAATGAAGGATGGAAACACCATCCTAACTTTTCATACAAGAATACCCAAGCACAACAAAATCCACCTCAACCCAACAACCACAACCAACCACCACCTGGCTTCCAACAAAGACCACCCAACACCCAACAACCAATGCAACCACAACCTCAGAAATCTAGCCTTGAGGTGACGTTAGAGAGCTTTATAACCGCAACAAATAGTGCCATCCAACACCAAAATAGCTCTATCCAACAGTTGCAGGCCCAGAGTAAACTCATGGAAATCCAGATAAGCCAACTTGCCAATCAAGTTAGCCAATCTTTAAAGATTCCAGGAACTTTTCCGGGCCAGACAGAACAACCTCAAAAAGGCCAAATGAATGTTGTTACCCTGAGGAGTGGAAAGCAATTGGAAGATCCTCCTACCAAGGAGCCATCAAAGGAGGTCGTTGAAGAAGCAGGTGCAAGTGAGAAGGAAGTTGACAACTCTAAGGTCGAGGATGAATCAAAGGAAGCACCACCAAAGCCACTTGCTCCGTATGTGCCCAAGGTTCCTTTTCCTCAAAGGTTAGCCCAAGCTAAACTTGAGAAAAAGTTCAGTAAGTTTCTTGATATTCTTAAAAGGCTTCATATTAATATTCCATTTTTAGATGCCATATCTGAGATGCCTTCTTATGCAAAATTCTTAAAAGATATGCTATCTAACAAGAAAAAGTTAGAAGAGAATACTACAGTTGCTTTGAATGCAGAGTGCAGTGCTATTTTGCAGAACACTCTCCCTAAGAAATTAGGAGATCCAGGTAGCTATTCGATTCCAGTGAAGCTTGGGGATATCGAAATCAACAGAGCATTGTGCGATCTTGGTGCAAGTGTGAGCCTCATGCCACTGTCCATATGTAAGAAGCTGCAAATGGGTGAACTCAAACCCACACGCATATCCCTGCAACTTGCAGACAGGTCAGTGAAGTTTCCTTTGGGTGTACTTGAGGATGTACCTCTTCGCGTAGGTAAGTTTTTCATACCCTGTGATTTTGTTGTGATGGAGATGGATGAAGATGTGAATGTTCCAATTATACTTGGTAGACCTTTCTTAGCTACTGCAGGTGCAATTATTGATATGAAGAAAGGTAAGATTACTTTTGAAGTAGGTGATGAGAAATTGGAATACTCACTTTTGAATGTTATGGGTGCTCCCTCTATGGGAGATACTATTTGTCAGGTTGATGTGCTCGATGAGCTACAAGGTGAACAACTCCCTCTGAATCAAAAAGATGATGCCCTTGAGCAAGTGCTAATAGGGAAGGAAGATGATGATGGAGATTGGGAATCAAGAGAGTATATCAGGCTGCTTGAAGAAGCAAAGGCCGACCCGAGCGTGAATCCAATCAGAGAGACATTGAATGTAATGAGTATTGGGGAGAGTACTAAGCCTCCCGAGGTAGAGTTGAAACCCCTCCCCTCTAACTTAAAGTATGCATATCTTGGTCCAAACAATTCATACCCTGTTATTGTTAATGCTGAACTCAAGGACACAGAATTGGAGCAACTGCTCAATGTTCTGAAAACATATAAAAGTGTTATTGGGTACACCATTGATGATATCAAGGGTATTAATCCTTCTTTCTGTATGCATAAAATCATTCTTGAAAACGATCATGCCTCTTCTGTAGAACCTCAAAGAAGACTTAATCCAAATATGATGGAGGTAGTGAAAAAAGAAGTTCTGAAATTGCTTGCTGCAGGAATAATCTACCCTATCTCTGATAGCAAGTGGGTTAGCCCTGTACAAGTAGTACCAAAGAAGGGAGGTATGACCGTTGTCAAGAATGACAAGGGTGAGCCAGTCGCCACTAGGACTGTTACAGGGTGGCGAATGTGTATAGATTATAGAAAATTGAATAAGGCCACCCTGAAGGATCATTTCCCCCTACCCTTTATTGATCAAATGCTTGAAAGGTTGGCAAAGCATTCCTATTTTTGTTACTTGGATGGATATTCTGGTTTCTTTCAAATTCCCATCCGTCCCTGTGACCAGGAAAAGACTACTTTCACATGTCCATATGGCACCTTTGTATATCGCAGGATGCCATTTGGACTATGTAATGCCCCTGCCACTTTTCAAAGATGTATGATGGCAATTTTCTCAGGACTCATAGAAAATTCTATGGAAGTATTTATGGATGATTTCTCTGTCTATGGAACAACCTTTGATGTATGTCTTGAAAATCTTAAAAAGGTGCTCCAAAGATGTAAGGAAGTCAACTTGATTTTGAACTGGGAAAAATGTCATTTTATGGTGCAACAGGGAATTGTCCTAGGTCATGTTGTATCTAATAAGGGTATTGAGGTAGATAAGGCTAAGATAGAGGTCATAGAGCGTTTGCCTCCTCCGAACTCTGTAAAAGGAGTTCGAAGTTTCCTTGGTCATGCAGGTTTTTACCGTCGTTTTATTAAGGATTTTTCGAAAATTGCTCGACCTCTAACTGAGCTTTTAGCTAAGGATGTTCCATTTGTCTTTACTGATGCTTGTCTTGAAGCTTTTAACAGGTTGAAGGAAGCTTTGATCTCTGCTCCTGTTATGCAACCGCCAGATTGGGCTTTACCGTTTGAAATCATGTGTGATGCTAGTGATTATGCGGTAGGGGCCATTTTGGGGCAACGAAAGGATAAAAAGCTCCATGCTATTTATTATGCTAGCAAGACTCTTAGCTCTGCTCAAATGAATTATGCCACAACTGAAAAAGAGATGCTAGCTGTTATTAATGCAATTGACAAATTTCATTCCTATTTGGTTGGTTCTAAGGTTATCATTCATACAGATCATGCAGCACTGAGGTATTTGATGACCAAAACCCATGCAAAGCCTAGGCTGATTCGGTGGATCCTTCAATTGCAAGACTATGATATAGAGATAAAGGACACAAAGGGGACTGAGAATGTTGTCGCAGACCACCTCTCCCGCCTTCTCCTTGACCCCGAGGATGAGGATGATATCCCTTTTGATGATTCTTTTCCTGCTGAACATCTATTAGCTCTTTTGAAAACTGAATCACCTTGGTATGCTGATTTGGCTAATTTTCTGTCCACAGGTACAATGCCTCACGGCTACTCGTCTCAACAAAGGAAGAAATTCCTTTATGAGGCGAGGAGACATTTCTGGGAAGATTCTTTCTTGTATAAGCAATGCGCGGATTCTGTAATCCGACGATGCATACCGGAGAATGAGGTTGCTAATATTATTTCTCATTGTCATGACTTACCGTGTGGTGGACATGCAGGTCCTTCGAAGACAGCCGCAAAGATCTTGCAGTGCGGTTTTTATTGGCCAACGATATTCAAAGATGTATATTCCTATGTCAAGGCATGTGATCGATGTCAACGGACGGGCAATATTTCTAGGAGGAATGAAATGCCACTCAACAACATACTCGAGGTCGAGTTGTTTGATGTGTGGGGGATAGACTTCATGGGACCATTCCCTTCTTCCTATGGAAATCGATATATTCTAGTGGCCGTTGACTATGTCTCAAAATGGGTCGAAGCAATTGCTACCCCAACCAATGATGCTCGCGTGGTAAGTAAGTTCTTCAAGAAAGTTATTTTCCCTCGTTTTGGTTTACCACGTGTTTTGATTAGTGACAGGGGAACACATTTCACGGAGCATCGGTTTGAAGCAATGTTGAAGAAATATGGAGTACAACACAGACTTGGCATTGGCTATCACCCACAAACTAGTGGCCAAGTTGAAGTGTCAAATCGAGAGATCAAGTCCATCATCGAGAAAACTGTCGCACGAACAAGAAAGGACTGGTCTGTGAAGCTAGATGATGCATTATAGGCGTACCGAACGGCGTTCAAAACTCCAATAGGTACAACTCCATATAGACTTGTTTATGGAAAAGCATGCCACCTACCTGTTGAGTTAGAGCATCGAGCATACTGGGCCATCAAAAGCCTTAATTTCAATGCCAAGGCAGCCGGTGAGAAAAGATTGTTACAACTTAATGAGTTGGATGAACTTCGACTAGAAGCCTATACATGAAGTGGCATGATAAGCATATTATGAGGCGAGAATTTCATGAAGGAGAACTAGTATTGTTATTCAATTCTCGATTGAAATTGTTTCCTGGAAAACTTCGATCAAGGTGGTCAGGCCCATTTCAGGTTCGAAAGGTTTTTCCATATGGTTCAGTTGAAGTTTGGAGTGAAGCCACTGGTTCCTTTAAGGTAAATGGGCAACGTCTCAAGCATTATCGAGAAGGCGAACCCATTGAAGCAAAAGCGGTTTTTACCGTTTTCAATCCTAGTTCGAACTAAACGAAAAGGTGGTCAAGCTAGACGACCTTAAACTAGCGCTTCTTGGGAGGCAACCCAAGTTCTCTAATTCTGCCTTATTTTTATTTTTAATTCTTGATTAAATAGTAATAATAGTAATGAGTTTTTTTTTTTTTTTTTTTTTTTAAATAAATAAATAAATAAATAAAAATTAAAAAAAATAATAAAAAATAAAAAAAATAAAAATAATAAAAATAAATAGTAGTAGTAGTCTTTTACTTTATCTATTTATTTACTTATTTTCTTTTTATTTATTTACTTATTTTTTAATTTTTGTTGCTAGGTAGTGTTGGATAGTAACTAGTTTTCATTATTTAGCTAGGTAGAAATGTAGTTCCTTTCATTTTTCTTCCTAAATTTTGCCTTTTGGTGTGAATTACAGGAGGAAACAATTAATGGCAGAGGAAGCAATTTACCTATAAAAACTTCATGGCACAGCAAGCTCCGCAAGCAACCCGCAATCAAAACAGCCAGCCACTGGGGGTAGTTGATGAAAGAAATTGAAGTGAGAAAACAATAAGGCAGCATGCTCCACAGGCTGGCCGCGGTCCAGCTTACAACCCACAGCCCAGCCATGGTGGACTTTGTTTTCACAGCCTTTCAAAAAAAAAAAAAAAAAAAAAAAGGGGGTGAAAAGCTGAAGGGAAGAGGCAGCGTGCTCCACAGGCAACCTGCAGCCTACACTCACAGTCCACAGCCCACCTGTGGTGCAAACTGGTATCCTCTCTTCACAAAAAAAAAAAAAAAATATATATATATATATATAGATATATATATGTATATATATATATATATATATATTTATATAAATAAAAAGGCTGTATACAAGAATTGTCTTCAAGAAACGCTGCCCAAAGGTTTCCAAGAATCCTCACCAAGGATCGCTCAGCCGTTCCTTGAGCACCGAAACTCACCGGACTTGGGCTGCGAAAACCTCCCTGATTAGCGCCGGAAATTGACAGAATCTGGGCTGCGAAATCTCCCGGAATTTCACCACCTGCAATCGACGATTTCGTGAGCAGCGAACCACCGGAAATTGCAGCGCCAATCACCGATTTCTTGAGAATCAAAACTCACCGGACTCACCACCTGAAACTGACGGAATCCGGCCAGCAAACCACCAAAATTCGCAACTATATCTAGCCGTTCCTTGAGCAGCGAAACTCACTAGATTCCGGCGAAATTTTCTGGTTTCTCAAGCTCCGAAACTCAGTCGGACTTTGGCCTTAATTTGACGATTCTTAATCTATAAAAATCGGCCGGATTTGAACTTGAAAATTGCTGGAATATTATGCCCTTGAAGGGGTAGCTTTTGTTCAATTCAACCAGCATTCTGTGGTATAATATCAATGGCTCGTAGTTCTACAAATACCAAGAAAAAAAACAACCCCCTCGGTTTCAAATTCTAGAATTCCGCCATTTTTCAAGACTAAAAAGACAGTTTCAAGAACAAAAACTTCAACCCGCAAAACATCGTCATCATCTTCATGTACCAAGGTTAAGAAAAAGGTGAACATTGATTACTATGATATTAAATTTCGAGATGCCGCTCACCGATCAAAATACGAGACATTGTTTATGCGAGGAGTAAATTCGACTCGTTTTTGTGATATTGATGCCCTACGAGCACTGCGTATTGAGGAAGATGTATGTTGGCTCTTTACTAATGTTGGGTGGGGTGATTTTCTTATGAAAAGGTATCCCACATACAAAAGAATAACATTGGAGTTTTTAAGTTCTTTAAAGGCGTATTTGTGTATTTCAGGTTATTTTCTTAAAAAAATTTGAAGGGTAAATAACAGGCCATAAAACGCTGACTAAGGCAGCGTTTTCTGTAAGGCAGCGTTTTATGGCCTGTTATTTTGACATAAAACCCTTCAGAAAATAAAAAAACCTGAATAAAACCTGTTATTTCATGCAGCGTTTTTGGTATTTTCAGTTTTTTTTCTATTTAAATTGTATTTCACAAAATACGAAATTTTAAAAAAAAATAATAAAATAAAAGGATAAAAAGCTGACTGAGGCAGCGTTTTTGGTATTTTCAGTTTTTTTCCCTATTTAATTTGTATTTCACAAAATACGAAATTTAAAAAAAAAATAATTAAAGGGTAAAACGCTGAGGCAGCGTTTTACCTCATAAGCTTAGTTTGGTAAATAGTTTGACCACGCGTCTAGATTGGTAAATTATTTGTGAAATTAGCTCAATTTTGTAAAAAATCCACTTCCTTCTTCATTCAACCTATAAGCCAAAAGAGTGACCACAACATTAAAACTTTAGGTACAAAAACAATTAAACAAACTCATCCTGCCATCCAAACCAAAATAAGAGCATAATTAGGACCATAACCACCCAAACATAAAAATCACTTTCTTCCATCAATAAAAACAAACAATTCCAAATAAATACTCTCCTCTCTCTTCCCCCCTAAATTGCCCAGTCCCCTCATCTTCTTCGCCTGAATTCCCTCAAAACATTTCCCACTCTCCCAAATTATTTCTCCCTTTTTTTAATTCCTCCCTCTCAAATTCCAATGCCCTAATAAAAAAAAAAAAAAACCCAAAAAATGTTAGTTTAAATTCTTCAAAATCAACAATTATTCCAATGGCAGCAACAACTACTGCCACCACCACAACCACCGCAGCAAACACCAAGCCAAAACGCCGTCGTTTCCGTGAAATTACCATATCGTCCTCAGCATCCCCTGAACTCGCTCGCTACTCACTGAGTCCAACTCTCTCTCCTTCAATGGCGGACTACGATTCACAACAACCCATTTCATCATACCCAGCAAATTTCAGCAAGTTCAACTCTGCTCTAACAGCGGGCCTCCTAAACCCGATGTCCCCACCTCCTCAAACCCGATCAAGCCCGACCCTCTTCGAAATGATGGCCAGTGAGCCCGACATTCAGCCCACTACCAGATCCACCACCAGTACACCCCAAAACGGTGTCGTTAACGTTAAGTCTCCTCCGCCGCCATTGTTGGATAAACAGGGGTTGCTGCAACTTCGGATTAATGATATTTTGGCGAATAAGAGTCCAGGAAATCAGTTTAATGACCCGGGTTCGAGTGATATTAAGCTAACTTTGAGTTCGAAAGATGGGTTTTCTGTTGAGTTGTGTGTTCATCGTCAGATTCTTGTGGGGAATAGTAGGTTTTTTGCTGGGAAATTTGCTGCTAAGATTCATAGGAATGGTAATGGTGGAGGTGATACGACGCCGTTTGCTGTTGAAATCGCTGATTGTGATGATGTTGAGGTTTATATTGAGACTTTGAGATTGATGTATTGTAAAGATTTGAGGAGGAAGCTTATGCGTGAAGATGTTCCCAGAGTTCTTGGCATTTTGAAGGTATAATTTTATTTTAATTTTTAAATCTGTAATTTAATTTCTGGGTTTTTCTTAATTATTGTTTCTTGAATATATTTTATGTTGTTTTAATAGAATAGTGTTTCAGAAATGGCGCCTTACAAATATTAGATTGAATAGTAATAACAAGGGAAAAGTAAAAAAGAATAAAAGAGAATAAAGTTGTTGTTTTGAGGGATTATTGAATGGTATAGTTTTCAATTGGTTGAGCTGAATATGGCTACATTATACTATAGTAGGTTATTTCGGGTGATTCATAGTTAGGATCGCGGTAGGGATGTGTATTTTTGGCTATGAACGAGAGTGGTTGGTGAACGAAATTGAGCCTTTGGTTTCCACTGTAGGATTTCCTTTTGAAGTGCAAGCATGATTTTGACTGGCAAGTACTAGTGGTAATTAATTGTGTTCGATTGACTACTGATTGTTAATCTTTGTTTTATTGAGTAATGTGAATTGAATGGTTTCGATACTGTGACTGTGTAGACTGTATCTATCCGTATCATGGCGTTTAGTGATTGCGTAGGTGTTTCCATTATGCGGAGAGATGGGTTGGTAGGATTACACTCCATTATGTAAATTGCTGCAAATGGTGTACCTTAGCATAGATTGTTGTAGGGTTACTTTTGAGAACCCTACATTGTCATTGAAGGTCACTTGATTTGCTTTGTTGATGGTGTTCCTTTCCATCTGGCAATCACAGTGAAGTTTTGAGAGGAAAAGGTCCTATACAAGCCATGTTACATGTAGTTTTCTTTTCTACTTGTAGGATTCAGCTGTGCAATTGGATTGTTATGTGAGGCTGTTGTTGTTTGTACTTTGTAGTAGTCAAAGAATAGGTTATATGACCTGCTACATGTTTTTTTGCTTGTAGGTTTCGGCTGCGATTGGGTTTGATGCAGGGGTATTATCTTGTTTAGAGTACTTGGAAGCTGCGCCATGGGCAGAGGATGAAGAAGAGAAGGTGGCCTCACTACTGTCTGAGCTACATCTCGAAGGCATAGGTGCTAGTGAAGTTCTTAAGAGAGTTTCCCTTGATGCAAATGCTCATGTGGAAGAGAACATTATTGAGAATGAGGAAGTACTTTTGAAGCTCTTAAATGTAGTCCTCGAAGGGAAAGATGAGAAAGCAAGGCGAGAGATGAAGGGATTAGTCTCCAAAATGCTCCGTGAGAATGCAAATCATAATGAACTGCGAAAAGAGTCTTTGTATTCTGCTTGTGATGGGTGTTTACAGCGACTCCGTCACCATTTCTTACTAGCTGCAGCGTCAAACTTGCAGGATGTAAGTCAGATTGCAAGGCAGGCAGATAACTTGCACTGGATTTTGGATATCCTAATTGATAGGCAGATTGCTAAGGACTTCCTGACTACATGGGCTTCACAAACAGAAATGTCAAAAGCACATTCTAAGGTTCCTCCGGTTCACAGATTTGAGATAAGCAGGGTCACAGCCAGGCTTTTTGTGGGCGTTGGAAAGGGACAACTATTGGCATCAAAGGATGTGAGGTGCCAGCTATTACAAACATGGTTGGTGCCCTTCTATGATGATTTCGGGTGGATGAGAAGGGCTTCAAAGGGACTTGACCGGCATTTGATTGAAGATGGCCTTAGCAACACCATTCTTACTTTGCCTCTCTCATGGCAACAAGAAATCCTTCTTGCTTGGTTTGACAGGTTTTTAAACTCTGGAGAGGATTGTCCTAACATACAACGGGGATTTGAAGTTTGGTGGAGAAGGGCATTCTGGAAACGAAACACCCTTCAGCTGGACCATCCTAATGTTCGGATTGCAAATGGGAGTTCTGATAATAGATAGAGAGTAATGCAAATGGGCATTATCCTAGTTTTCGTGGGATAATCATTCATCCAGCTGCAATTTTGAAGATCTTGGTTTTCCTAACTCAGTCCTTATTACTTGCGAGATCGAGTTTCAATCCTGAAGATCTCGTCGGATATTATACCCATTGACCTGACTTTTGTGCGGTATTGAGTCTTTTTCTTTTGCCAGCTTCATTGTTGAAAGTTTATGCTAATCAAAGAAATCTTGTTAATAGCCGGCCGTCATACATTAGATGAGATTATGTTGTTGAAACTTGAAAGCAATGGATAATCATATACGGCTATACGCCGTGGTTGTTGACTGTGGACAATGGCTAGTGTTAAGTGTCATGATTAGCACTAATAAGACAATGTCCCATGCCGACTTGCTCATTGAAGCTACCTTCATCTCTAATCCATGTCTTTTTCAAGTACAGTCAGAGTTATTAATTTCTTTTGTCGCAAAGCTATCAAAAATATCATTCACTGCTGGATGATATCAGTAGATCACATGGATTTGGCTTTGTTTGGACCGTGAAATCTGAGATATTTTTTACATATAATGTCATCTATAAGTTTCTATTTTATGGCGTACCAAAGTGGTTTATGATAATGTCTAAGACACTTTGTGGTGCACTTCAGTCCATTATTGCTTTTTCTCTAGGTAGTTGTTTGGCTGAAACAAATATATACTCCTAGGAATTTTTGAGTTACGAAAACACAAAATGAAGTCGCTTGTATTGAACCACCAAAGAAAATCCAATATTTCTACTCCGTGTTTCCTTGGAAAGCTACATGTGCATTTATGTTGGCAAGGCTGATCACCAAACGATCACTTGATGTGTTATTCACCGTGCTATATTTCATTGTTCTTAATAGCATGAATGTTACGTGGTTTGATGCATTCGATTATTCGATACATGAGACACAATGTTTTATATGCTTCGTAGTTTATAAATGTGGCCAGTAGCAAAAGGGGGAGAAAATGTGAAAATCTTTAAAAATTGTTTTCGTGTAAATTGACCAACTTTTAGAGATTGTTGAATAACTAAGATTCTGAATTCATAAAAGCTACGGAGTAAGCCGAGTGACCCCAAAATTCCATATATCAATAAAAAGTTTGGTTAAGAATACCCATCAGTTGTAAATGGGTAAAACTGCCAAATACTTTTCATATATAAAACCTTTATACTACCTTTGATTTTTATTAGCTGCAACTTTAAAATATTTTATATCTCACAAATAATACTCCAAAGTTGCAACTAATAAAAATTAGAGGTAGTAGTTTATATGCTACTTCCTTGTGTGAAATGGTAGATAAAACCTCTTTTTTTTTAAGTAAAAATACTCAAATCGATATAAAATACTACTAGTACTTAAATAATCAAATCATATGAACTATTCAATGTATGTACGATATGTCAACAAGGCTTAATTGGTTAAAATTTTAGAGATAGCCAAAATTATAACCAAGATTTGAGATCGAATCTCATGTACATTTTCCGTTTATGGCTCTCTTTTAGTCTCTTGCTTATTGACAACAACTCGACAAGCATGGTAAACGCTAATTAACTGTGGAAGTAGTGATGGATTTGTATGTCATTTTGCTAGGATTTCTTGTGTTTATTACTAATTACTATGTTGATAGAACTCTACCTCCAAACATGTGTTTAATATCATAAATTTTCATCATTACCCTATAATTTTGAAAGACATTCTATACCATCTTTAAGATAGTAATGAAAATTTGCGGGAAAAAAGAGGTATTATTTGGGAAGGGATTAGAATTACCTATTAACTTGTGTTGTACTTCACGAACTTACTTACAAAATATTACCATTACCGCTATATATGTTACTATTAACTATCAAACTAGTCGTCGAAGTTTACGTAAAACCCAAAGTTACTCTATAAAAATATATTTTGCTTTAAACTTTAATTAATATATTATCATCGTATCAACTAGGATCTTATCGTCTCTGAACTATTTATTTCTTAAACCAATTTTTCTTTTGATTTGGTGAAGTAATAGCCTTGAAATGCTACAGATCGAGGTAGTTGGTCTGCAGGTTAACTGAATGACTGATCAGAACTCAGAAGAAGACATAATTTAAACTATTACTCAATATTAGTGAGTCTGAAATGTCAAAGATAATGAATTTTGAGAATGGGACAAATTCCAGACTCTAGTTACTTCATAACTGGGGCAACGTGACAATGTAAAGTGATGGATTCCCAACCTTTTTTTTATTACCATGGAGTCTACTCCAAGGCTAATTTTTAAGGTGACAATGCAATCTTCTACTTAAACTTTGCAAGAAATGAATTATCCTTTGCTTCATTGCTTGTTATGCCCCCTTCTTAAAGTTGACAAAGAAAGGTATGTAGTGAATGTGCTTTGCCCATTTCCTCAAGTAATGTCTTGAGAACTAACTCTTGAATCTTGACTCGGAAAATTCAACTTTGGGTCTTGACAAGGCAAGTACAGACAATTCTAATCGAGGTTTTATTTCTTATTTAATTGTTACTCTATAGTATGCCAGATAACGGAGTTATTTTATATGAGATGATTCCATACTTTAAGACGGTGGATATCACCTCAAAGTTAACCCTACACAGTTTATCTCATGTGATTGGATATGATTTCTTAATTATGTTATCGAGACACATTCTATCTACAATCTCAAGTCTTGGGGGTTGTTTAGATCAAAGTATGTTGAAAACCATAAATTTTAGACAAATGATACAATTAATACTTTTTTTTTTAATTTTTTTTTATCTCTATGTCATGTATTTTGAGGAACAAATTTTGCAGCGGATTAGATTATTGCTAATATTGATTGGTTTGTACTAGTACTAATTATGCACTCAATGCGTGAATGAAACTCCATTAGTCTCATCTCAAACAAAAGAACAGTAATTAAGAAGGGTAGGAGAAACATGGAAGAAATTATACTTCGTACTAATAGACAGTATATGTTAATGGATTGGTAAATGGTACGACACGACACAACATAACACGTGTTTAGTGAGCTCGGCCATAGGTTAGGCCTAGTCAAGCCCAAGATACACATGCTCGACACAAGAGACAACCCACACAGTCAATTTTTAGTAGACAATAAGTACTAGTAAAATAAAGATCGTAATCTTGGTGAAAATGGTGACTATTGTGGTCCATGTGTGGGCTCATGGAGCAGCTAACCACTAAATCAGGATATGATAAATTTGTAACGCACACCTAGGTCAGACGACCGCACAGATTTCGTCCATTTGTATAAAACAAAATCATGAACACTACTTTGGAAAACGAGATATGCTTACTACATTAATTAATAAACTATCAGTATTATTTGCAGCAAATTGAACTTATTTAATTGATTTCTTATTGGTGTAATACAAGCAAAAAATTGAACTTATTGGTGTAAGGTCCTATTTAGTTCACCATATTTTTGCGTATTTGATCTGGACTGATTTGATTGTCTGATTTGAACAAACTTTGACTTTAAGTGTACGATAATTTGTAAGGAAAAAATATATTAAGTGGCATCTGGTTAGATTCGTAATAATGTGTATTTTTATTAATATCTAATTTTCATAATTTATTTCCTTACGAAATTAAAGATATTTAGCGATAAAAAATTGCACATAAAACGATGATTTGATCTAAACTTATTTTTCATGATCTGATCTGATCTAAAACTTATTTTCTCTTAAATAAATAAAAATAAGTTGAACTAAACAAGGCCTAACACAAGCAAATAAGATCATCTTCTTTAAATATTTCGAAGTGTTAAGAGTTTAATATTGTGGTTGCCATATAGCCAAAGGATTTTATGCTTTGAAACTTTTTTTCTCTAATTTCCAAAAACAATTTAATTAGTTTATCATGTTAACAAAATATTTATTAGATTTTATTAAATATATACTCTAAAAGTTATTACTCCATTCACCTCATATCTCTACCTTTTAAAAAATAGTGTGCGAACATTTATATCCTTTAAAATGTTTGCTTACTTGTACTTATATGCCTTCATTGATGTTTAATGTCTCTTCAAACTCTTGTGGATATTATGCGCACATTTATACCATAAAAATATTTGTTTACATATTTTTCCTCACTAATGTTAATGTCAACTACTAAATTTGTGATACAAGGCTAAGTTGAAACAATTCTTCAGACATAACTAGCTATGACACAAGCATCGCACGTGTTAGGCCCTACTCTTTAGAGCTACTCTGCCTGCTCTGCTCTGCCTACTCTGCTTAAAACTAATAATTAATAATAATAATGATAATAATAATAATAATTAATATATAATATCAATTGATAATAATAACTAATATTTAATGGTAATAATTAATATTTTATATTATTTAACACATTTTTTAATGCTATAAAAAGAGTAAAAAAATCTAAGAAAATCATTATAATAATAATAATAATAATAATAATAATCTGCTCTGCCCTGCTCTGCTGAAATATGCTATGCTTTGCCCATAAGCTCAAAAGAACAGGGCCTTAATCTCCTTAATACTCTAAATAAAATTACTCCTTACATCCGATATTACTATGAAAATTTTGCGGAATGTGAAACGTAACTTTAGAAAACTACTCTTTTAAACTCACATTAGTTCGAAAAATTATTAGTAGTTTCAAACTAATATATATTTGTATTCTTTAAAAGTCACATTGATTTGTACTTCTTATTAACTTTAATAAGAAGTACAAATCAATGGGAGTTAGCATGCTTTTTGTTGAACTTAACTTACTAGCTAGCTATATTTAGCTTATTTCGATTGAATTTAAATTACTTTCTACTTCAATTAAATTATTTATACTTAATATTATAATTGAAGGTGAAGATAATGTGACCAAAGTGCTCAAGTTTTTTGGGATGATAAATTTAGAAAATATACAAATTATTAAATACATAAGGAGTCCTTACCGGCCATGAGAGTAAGGGATAGTTCAGTTGGTTAGAGCTTCCCTCCCGTACCTAACAATTCTTTTGATTGATTTTCATAACCCGTCCTTATAGTTCTCTAAACACCAAAAAAAAAAAGTCCTTGCAATGTATTTAACCAAATTTTAAGCATTTAATGCAAGATAAATATTGAGTGAGGTGGCAAGAAGAAAAAAAGAAAATAATGACATTATTTAAGAGGTGAGAAGGCGAAACAAGATAGGGTGAAAGAGAAAGGTAAGATCTTTGTTAGGGTGGCTATAGATTGAGGGGATAGGGTTGGAAGCGACACTGAGTCACTGATACCAATGAGAAGAGATAATAAACGAGGTTAAGTGATGAAGAGTTGAAGACAGTGGGTTTATGAGGTGGTGGTGCGATGATGGTTGACACAACATTGGTGATGTAAATGGTTGGTAGAGGGATAAATCAGTCGTTGGACAATCACCTTAAACCAAACAATATTTATACCTAAACCAACCTAAGACAAATCTAGGGTAAGTAGAGGATCGTATCCACAGGGAATGGGTATGAGTACACCAAGATTATGAAACGATTGTAATCTAGTTCGGTCACAAATTGGGGGTTTTGATTAATTAACTACTATGGAGACAAACACTAGGGGGAAAATGGGAATTGACACCAACCAAACCAATGGATCAAAACAATAGGCAAGCATGAACACAAATTGGGTGATAGAAAGGGCACTCAAAATTGCCTTCTTTCGAAGCCACAACACTAAACATTCCTAAACCAAACTCAACTAACAAGATAGGCCAACCAAGTCTTAATAATAGGAAGTATACTACTAACTCGGGTTTGTCTTTCGATCGGTCCAAGATAGCATTAAAGAACAAGTAATTGAGATTTCTCACCTAATTATCGCAACTAAGACTACTACATCATCCATACAAGGAACCATAATAAGATAGAAATTCGGTTTAATCATACAAGAAAAGGTTCACAACCAAACTTCATCTTTCAATGCAAGCATAGAAATGAATACATGAGCAATAAGTGGTCATCCAATTACACATGCAATTAACTAATTCTTTAGCAATCAAACATCAACCCAAAATGAACATGCAAGCACAAATATCGATCAATCCATGGCTTGGTTGAGTCTTCACCCAACCCCTAGCTAATAGACTACTCACTAAACATGGGGAAGAACAACATAGCTACAAGTTCTAATTCTAACATTAATCTAACAAGTTGAGAAGAGTGATATAATCTAAGTTGATTGAACATGCAACAAAAAATAATCAAGATTAAGAGAGAAATTAACAAAATAAAGCAATTAAAAACTGAAAATAAAGAGCAAGAGGTAGAGGAAAGATATTACCAATGAAGCTTCAAAGTTGAGAAATTATTGAAATTGAGAATACAAACTTCAATTAATCTACTCCAATGATTGAGTTTGAGTGAAACTAAACTAATTAATGAGAGTTTAGAGAGCTAACTAAGAAATAAGGGTCTAAGAAAAACTAAAGGAAAGAATATCCGTACAAATGAAGCCAAGGGTGGTATTTATACCCCCAAAAATTACATCATAGAATCCGTCAAAATCGGCTTTGGAATAGGAGGAGCGCCCGCTCCTTCTCATAGGAGCACCCACTCCCTAGGCTAGAGCGCCCGCTCCTGGTCTACCTGCGTGCCCGCTCCTTACAGGTTGCATGCCCGCTCTTCCAAGGGAATAGAGAGAGACAGATTGTGGCGCTTGGGTTAGGAGTGCCCTCTCCTCAGTTGGTGCGTGCCTTATTAAAGAGTCTTCATGCTTGTGCTATATGAATCAATTCTTGTTGCATCTACAAACACGAACACACACATAAAAAGGAACGGGAATGCCAAAGGCTACAATCATGCACTAAAGGGGATTAAAAAGGATTAAAGAGGGGAAAATGACTACAAAATCGTGTTAAAAATACCATGATAAGTGGACAAATAGAACACTTATCAATGGTGTTAATTATATGTAGAGTAAAACCTTTTCATTTACTATATATATTACGCAATTTCAATGAACATTATGTACCATGTCGTTTGTATTACATTGACATAATATTTGAAGCTAGTGATGATACAAGTAATGTCTAATGTCCGAACTCCTTATTATTTTAACCTTAAACGTTTCTCCAAGCACGTATGTCAATCACTTTGACCAATAATAATATCCTTAATTATTAATAAGGAAGAATTATAACAATCGAATATTAAAAACTATTGACTGAGACAATTCTAGCATGTACACCCACGAGACTATATTTAGAGTAATGCATAATAACTGACATCAGTCAAAGTGAATCAAGTGAAAAATGCAAAAAGTCAAAATATTTCATTTAAAAAATGGAGGGACTATATGAAACTTAATGCAATTTTCATTAGTTTTTTCCAGAGATCATTTAAAACGCCTTTACTTCCCTAAATAACAATTTCTTCTCTTTTCAATAAAACCGTTATCTTTCCTTAAAAATGATGAGCAAAAAAGATAGCGATTTGACGATTTTTATGTAAACAACCACAGTAATTTTTTTTTCTAAAATATTGACAGTAACACTCACTATTAAATTCACGTCCATGGTATTTTAAGATTTGTAAGTATCATAGTCATAGTTATAAGATTAATAAAAAACTTATTCAAGATAGACTTATATACACTCACCACAGAATACTACCAACCATAATAATAAAGTAAAATCATACAAATATAAAGCCCAATAATTGAATATCCATTTACACCTCAATATTTCTCAATCCAAAATCTCAACCCTAGATCTAAAATAGAGCATAAAAGTCAAATAAAGAACAAAGGGTAAAACAGGAAAAAAAAAACGAAGAAAAGGGTTTCGTTAGAAATTCAGAAGAATAAATACGTGGTGATGCTGCAGTAGCCTTCACTTCCACCACCAAAGCAGCCAACAGAAAAAAAAAAAAAAAAAAAAAAAGTAAAGGCAAAAAAACTCTTCTCGAGGATTTTGAGGAGAGAGAAAGTGAAGAAGAAGACGACACAGTCACACCCTCAAAGAAGCTCAACATTGAAGATGAACTAAGAATTATTTCTCTATTTTTCTGCTATTTTTTCTTTGTTGATTTTGGAAAAGGTTCGATTTTCAGAGGAGAGAGAATGAGTGGAATGATGAATTTTGCACCGATGAAGCAGCAGAATCTCAGAAAAACCCTATTTATTGCCGCCATCTTTAATGGAGAATAGAAGATTTTTTGTTGTTTATTGATGATTGAAAGGACTGAAGTTTATGGTTTATCGATGTTGATGATGATGAAGAAGAATTTCTGGAACTATTTTAGTTTAATTCAGTGAAAAAAAAATAAATTAATCGTTTTTTTTTTGGAAGATCTATTGAATCGAGTGGTTAAGGTGAAGATCGAGTGATATTTTCGATTGAATCTGAAGGTATTGAAAGTAAGTTGTGTTTGATTTATGTTATAGTTGATATTTCTGCTGTTTTTGGTTTGTTGTGAGGGTTTTTGCGATTGTTGGAATGAATCTATCTTCATTGATTGCGTTGAAGTTATTGGATGATGGCGGTTACTAAGCAAATGAGTGTACAGTATGTGTGAGTGTGTGATGATTGATGGAATTTATAAATGTTGGTCAACTTGAAGCGATATAACCCTAGTTTTTTTGGCAGATTGGGAGATTATTAGATGAGATTATGAGATTAATTGTTGAAGCTGCTATAATTTGGAGTTGCTATTGTTGTTTTAAAGTGAAGTGCATTTTTGCTGAGCGAATGGATTTGATTTATGGTTTATGTGCTTGTTTTTAGCGTGGTTTCGTTGTGAGGACTGTCGAGACCGTTTAATTTATGCTGCTTGTGCTTGTTTAGCGTGATTTGGTTGTGAGGACCGTCGAAATCATTTAATCTGTGCTGCCTGTGGTTATTGTTAGCATGATATGGTTGTGAGGACTGTCGAAACCGTTTAATTTGTGCTGTCTGCGTAATTTAGCATGATTTGGTTATGAGGAACGTCGAAACCGTTTAATCTATGCTGACTGTGCTTGATTTAGCATGGTTTGGTTATGAAGGGTGTCGAAACCATTTAATCTATACTGACTGTGCTTGATTTAGCATGATTTGGTTATGAGGGTGTCGAAACCAATTAATCTATGCTGACTGTGCTTGACTTAGCATGATTTGCTTATGAAGGGTGTTGAAACTGTTAAATCTGTGTTTGTCTGTGCTTGTTTTAGCAATGTTGATATGCATATGGTGGCGGTCGATAGTATATAATCTATGTTACTTATGCTTGTATTAGTACTCTTTTGATTTGCTTGAGGTTCTGTGAAATGTTGGAAGACTCCTTGCTGGAATTAGGTTTAGCCATTGATGTATTACCTATCATAAATGAGATTAATTATCGAGGTCCTGCCTAAATTATGCTTATATGTTGGATTCGAAGTAAAAGTTTGAATGATTTGTGTTTTTTTCCCACTATGTGTTCCCTTGTGATTTTGTTTGGTCATGTAGAAAGACGACAATAGGTTTTCTGGGGGGATGATAATTGATGATTTACTTTTATTGTTTTGGTCTGATAAAATCTTAATTGTTTTCTTCTCTGATCTGTTTTTTAGGCTTGAATTACATGGCTGCATAAAATCTGGACCTCTTACAGAAAGTTTATCATTATATGTATGTGTGATTACGGTCATGTGAGTTTCTGGTGGATCTTTGTTACTTTGTATTTCTATACTTCTTTGCTGCTTGAAAGCTGTAGTGTAAGAGAAGTATGGTATTTCCTCTGTTTGACGAAAAAACAAATTATCTTCTGTGTTTATGTTTATGCAGTTATTAGTGATTTCTTTCTTCTTGGAACCTGTGTGTTTTATGGCATCAATTATGTCTACTGTGAGTGCTAAGTGTGGCCATGTTCCCTCAACCTTAAGATACACTGGTGATGATGCCCACATATCCTCGTGCTCGGTGCTTGTTTTCCTGTAATGATGAATGATTAATCTGCTTGGTGTAATAACTTTATATCTAATAAAATAAAATTATATGCATTTGGGTGTACATGTTTTGTGTTTTCTCTTGCTTGGATTTCTGATCGTCACCTAAAACATTTTTGTCATGTACCTAGCATCAATTTTGATATTTTAAAGCAGTCTCTCTCAAAATATTTTGTGGCTATGACTGGTTAGTAAGTTATATGAAGGTAAATGAATCGACATCTAAATGGTATGCAAATTGCACCATTTGCATGTCTGCAGATTTCTTTTCTGTGCATCGGGAATTTTCTCGTGCTGTTTGGACCAGGACCATTGTCTAAACAGGTTGCATAGATGTCTCTGTCAATAAAGTAGTCTAGTCTTTGTATATATGCTCATAGTCTAATTAATTCTGTCTGAAGGTTTTAGAAGGTAGTCGGAGTGCATCAAGACTTGCCCGAAAGACAGTATCTTAAAGCATAAAGGATTATAATTTATTTTCCTTTGCAAGTTTAGTGTTCAAAATGCCTGTATCTGAGACTGAAAAGGTATATCGTGATTTTTTTTATTCCACAGAGTTAATATTAATAATTTTATTAACCCTCGAATATATTTGGAAACTCCTCCCTAAATCTCCTGTTATCTTCTATTTGGCAGCATGGAGTACTAGCATCAGGCTGTCGCTTTAGTAATAAGGCAGAGCATGTACCTATCAAAAAGAGAAGATTCTTGTTAAGGTCCCCGTCACCACCGCCAGTTTACGACTCTCCATGTGCGGAGGAGATTGCAGATCAAACAAGAAGTCAAGATGTTTCAATCAAACTTTTACCTTTGCAATCTTCAACTTCTGACATTAGTTCGAGCCAGATTGTTGAGAATAAAAATCGGGTTGATGCTAAGAAAACTGACAATTCTAACAAAAGCTTCGGTGAAGATGAAGATTTCTCTGGTATATCAATACTTGCAGCTGCTGCCTGCAGTAGCAGTTTGGGAAGAGATTGTGGTTATGCGGAGGATGGTTCAGGCATTGAAGAGTCTTCTGTGCTGGAGCGAGCGCGGGAAGTTTCTATTTATGCTGTAGCACCTTCATTATCTAAGGGTTTATCAAAGGAAGATGTTATTAATTCGTCTGAAATATCAAGTGGAGCAACATCATCCTGTATATCCACAGAGCCAATTGTAGAGCTTGCATCTATCTCTACCACTGTAAATTCATCTCAAAATGTTGTTGCTGTTGGAAAAATGAAGGATGTTTCCTTGGGCTTTTCTGCGGATGTTTCCTGCAGCAAAGATGAAGATGAAGGGAAGGACCAGAGACAATCTTCCCGAGATGTTAGGTTGCATTGGGACTTGAATGTTGTGATGGATGCTTGGGAGCAGCCTTTTGACGATCCAGGAGTTCAAAATGTTGTTGCTCATGACATTTCTCAAGATGCTGGAAAAGTCGACCACAATGACAATATGGAATTGAAAGCCCATGATTCACGAGAAAATTTGGAAACTTTACATGCTGCAAAAAGCTGCCTACTCCCTGGTGAACAGAGATCACCGGCAAATCAAAGTTCAGTTGATATTAAGGACAATTATAATATAGATTCTTGCCTCAATCTGAAGCAGCCTCAATGCGTAGGCGAGAAGCCTCTTTCAACCAACTCCAATCTTAACTTGGATGTTGTGAAGTGTATGGTTGAAGACTCTAAAAGCATGCACCATGATGAAAATGTTGATCCCACTATTGGATTAGTTGCTGCTGCCCCTGATCAGACTGCTCAATTGTCAGCTTCTTATACTGTAAATGAGGTTGATGATCCTTCTGTGAAGAGTTTAGATTTGAATGACAATAGTGTAAGCTATGAGCCAGTAATTGAGGGGTTAAAAACAGACGGTGGTGTGTCTTCCCGTCAGTTGCAGAATTTTGGAAATGCTTGTGCTTCAGATGCTATATTTGGCGCTGTGTCTGCTGATAGTTATATTAGTTTGTGTGTGTCATCAAGCTCAAAGGTTAAACAAAATGTCACTGTTCCAGAGGATTTGGAGACACCTAAGAATTTTCATCATGAAGAAAAACCTCTAATAGAGAATGCTGACCTGAAAACAGTAGAGCATCAAGAGCATGCTGAAGTTGCTGTATCAGATGATAATGCCCCTGTTCACACTGAGGCATCCAACTCTGTGCCTAAAAGATGTGAGCTTCCGGTAGCTTTAGATACTAAGTTGCAGGATTTTAATTATATTCAGGATGGAAATATAGTTAGTAATAATGAAACCATAAAGAATCCCTCTGAAAATTGCTCGGTAACACTCATGGATTCATGTGATTTCTCCATCCATGAGACTTGCAAAATTAACTTGGATAATTGTTCTAATTATTCTGACAATACTGATTATGAAGATTCTCTTAAACATAGTAATGATGTTGGTGTTCAATGTTATCCAGTTTTGGTGGTTGGCACTGATGCTAATGGTGAGCTCCAGGAGGGTTATGATTCCCAATATGAAGATGGGGAGCTCAGGGAGTCAAGTGGACGTGCTTGGGAAGAATATGATGCTGGTGATAGAGAAGCTGAAAATATAGACTATATTTCGAACTACAGAGAAACGTATATGGCCAATTCAAGTGAGGACCACGTCTCTGAGTCTGGACAAGTTGAAGATAGAAAGAGCGGGAGACTGGGAACTGCTGCTGCCGTCGCTTTTCATGATTGTAAAAATGATAATGAGGTTTTTAAAGTATCTTCTGAAGCAGTTGGGAATGATAGTGAACATGTTGAAGTTAACCAAATAAAATCAAGTCATGCTGGAGAGAAAACGGAAATAATTCTGCGAAAAGAACTGCTTGAGAGTAGCAAGAGCTTTTCAGATATGGGAAATCAAGGCATAGATGATATCGGGAGAAAGAATAGAATGCCTAGTCATATTGATGGACCGCTAGATCCCCAAGATGAAACTAGAGTGGAACCAAAAGCATTCAGAAGGGGCTTGCAGTCTCAGATTGAAGGTCCAATTTCTCGTGATCATGCATATAGGGAGGAGCGTTTCAAGAAAATGGAGAATAGGTATCAGTGTTATGTTGGTTATATGTGCGCTTTACAGTGACTGCTTGCTCTTCCCTCCTACCCTTTCCCCTTTTGTTTCCCTTTGTTGTACTCCTTATATTTCCTCGTATTAGGGGATTACTTCTAGCTTTCTTGGATCTAATATGTTGATGTCTTTTTGATAGATTTGAGCCTGGCTCCATGAGATCGTTTGAGAGGCCGCGATATTCATTTCACAGTCAAGGTAGAGGACGCCAAGGTGGTAGGTGGGATGGTTCATCAGACAATCGTAGAAGTTTCAGGCGTTACTCACCTATTATCCATGGACATTCAAAACTCGATGTTGATGCTAGTGTGGAGAGAGACGACCATGGATGTGTTGGCACTCAAGATGATGCATCATATTCTCAACAACTTCCAAAAAGTCGAACTGGTGCTGATGGAGAGCCTTGTGCTGGATTTCACTCGCGTTATAATACCGATAGGAAGTTTAGCCCTGATAGAGCTGGAGGCTTTGGTCGGGGAAGATCCTTCAGGTGTGGCCCTTTTTCTGAAAGCAGGGGAGGCAGGGGAAGGTTTAGTGGGCCTTCTCCAGATGAATCATTCCAGTCCTCCTTAAAATACCGTCGTCCTTTGTCCCGCAGAGAGAGAAGTATTTCTCCATTTGGTGGTAGAGGGCAGTCAAATATACATCACTCTCGCAGGAAGTCTCCATCTCGATCAAGAAGTCGGTCTCCTGTCATTTGGAATTCTCCAAGGAGAAGACTGGGGGCTGGAAATGGTGGTAATACCTTCTTTAGGCACCGAAGTAGATCTCCAAATTTTAGGCCTGAGGCCAGAATGCAAAGACTAAGGTCACCACAGCAACAACCTGGCTCCGGGCCTGACCATGCAGGTGGTTTTAGGTCAATTTCAAGAAACCATGGATCTCCTCCGCGTAACCGATGGAGTTCTGCTCGGAAGGATGAACCAGGTCATTTTAGGGAGCTAGGTTACAAGCAGCGGAACTCTGCTCCAGATAGATCACCAGGGAGAATTCGCTTGAGGGATGACAGAGGTACCGCAATAGATTCCCCACGAAACCTGAAGCCTGATGGGTATTATAGAATTTCAGATAGGATTCCAGATGATGTTGGTAGAGGAGTTAGATATGAGGAGAATTTTGGAGAAAGAAGGAAACAATATAATCTCCTTCGTCCTGCGAGGCGTAACTTTGATGATGGCATGGCAAATAAAATGCATCAGGATATTAATGATAGTTTTTCCATGACTAATGGTTTTCGGGATAGAGATGTTTCAAGTTTTCAGGACAGAGGGTTAAGGGGTATAGACAGCCGCATTGGCGATGGTACAAGGAGGTTTAGAGGGGAAAATCATTCTGTCATATATGAAAGAGATGGAAAATTTAATCCTAATTCAAAGCAATTTGGGGTTGATGTCATGGATCCATCACATAATTCTAAGTCTGAGGAACAATATCGACCCAATTATGCTGGAAGATTTTCTGACACCAATGGATCCAATAGAGGATGTCGATATGAGAACTATCAAGACAGGCGAAAACACTATGGTCAGCCTAATATCATGAGGCGCACCGATAATGAGGATCCAGAAAAGAGATTGAATCATGATGAAACTTTCCAGGATACTCCAGAGTTTGGTAGCAGGGTTACAAGGGATTGTGATGGACGAATTGGAAGTTTATCCGCAAGCTTCAGGGAAGATGAGGAGCCAGTTGTGTGTGGACAAGAGGATAAACTTGATGACAACCCACTGTCTGTTGGTGTGCAGAATTGTGGTGGTGATGATGCTACAAAGGGAGTTGTTCCTTCGTAGCTTTGACCTGTGGTTTTGTTCTTCGTTCGGTATCCAAAGATCACTGGAAATTATTTAATCTCTTTTTTTATCTTCTTGATGTTATCCCGACAGGATAGATAATGCCTGCAAATTTTTGTTGGGGTGCTTTTTATTAGTCTACATTGGCCCTTGACAAAAAGTTAGGTGGGTCTAGGAATTTTTTTGAATCCAGATACCATTTTCTCATTGAATGTGATCTTTATCTTGGCATTTTCTGGACATGTAACTCTTGACATTATTGTTGTAGGGTTGAATCAATGAGATTTTTTGGGGCTCATCTTGATTTTCATTTTCCTGATTTCTGATTGCTTTTTTTTTTTCTTCCTTATGAATTTACTGCTGTCAAAGATGACTGGGGCTTGGGCAAGATCAAACTTAGCAAGAAGTCCATCACACGTGTTCTCTTCAGAGATATTATACATTGATCAGTTGTTCAGAAATGCTATATAGTGCTTTTTGTTATTATTTTCATTGCCAGGTGATGTTGAGCGTAGGTGTTGATGAGTTGAAATAGGGCAGTGACAGCCTTTTATAGGGCTTTATGGCTGCTGTTATCAGTCGGATTTTAGCCATTACAGGACTTATTTTCTTATCATGGCTTAAGGCATGTTGCTTATCTGGCACAAATATGCAATATTGAGAAAATCGCAGTTGGTGTTTTGGGCAGTGCATTTATTCATATTTTGAGCTTATGATGTGTATAGCTGGCTATCAAAAGTTCCACAAAGAACTTGGGGTCTTGCATGTTGCCTGTCTGCTGATGTTTGCAAAGCTATCACTTTTATTGTCATTCCTGGCAAGGTATCCCTCTGCTTAAATGCTTGAAGGAATTTATGTCAGTTGCTATGTATGAATTACACTTGTGAGACTAGGAAGCTTGTACATTGCTGTGAACCCAAAGGCTAATGGGCTGCCGTGTGAAGAATAACATCATATATACACTTTGTTGCCTGAGATCAGTGTGGAATAAAGGTGAGAGCTCTGTTCTTTGTTATTTTTACTTTTATCACTTAATACCCTTTGGTTTGTCTAATATCTGGAACTTTGCAACACCTGATGGTGAAAAGCTAAATCCTAATTGCTTCTGATACTGTCAGCTGTATTGTTAGTATTGAGCATGAAGAGGTGTGTTGAAGTAAAAAAAAAAAAATAGCTATACTGGATTCTCAACCAACCAATCATCTATAAGCTGCTCACCTGCTCAATGAGCTGAATAGCATTTCTAGATGAAGTTTGTAACAGGTTTCAGAAAACCTCGCCAGCTCTAAGTTCTACTAATACAGGTATGTAGCTTCATTCCGTACTCTGGTAATTCTTGTGAACAGTCATAGTTGGCTGATTAGGTATTATGTTTCTATTGAAAACTCTGGTTACACCTTCTGTAAGAGTGTCCTAAATTCCTAAACAAAGGTTGATGAAGGTGTACACAATTGCACGAGTGCTCTTCTGTTTTCGAGAAATCTGTTTGGATTCTGTGTTTGTTTGTTGGTTGTGCATATTATTTGTCCTAGAATGGCTTCAGTATGTTGAGAGAAATGTATGCTTTACAAAATTTTGCAAGAAATTAACAGTTGATATCGGAGGTTGCCAGGTTAGTTGACAGATTTATTTGCTGTGAATCTGTGATTCCTGAGTGATTTCTCTGTTTCTTCAGTTTTCAGAAAAATGGATGTCGATAATATGAAGGGAGTTTATCTACTTTGCCTCATTTATCACCTTTAATATATGTCATGTAGATCTGTGGTTGTTTGTTCTATACCATCGAGTTCTTCATCAGCTCGACTTGCTAGTTATATAAACCCGAAGATTGGAATTATTTGGTGTTTTAAAGGCAGGCCTTTGATTTTCTCTGGTTCGTACTTCCTATTATAAACAGCCTTTCTCTGAAATTTTTGAAGGATATTGTGGATATTGTCCACACACATGGAAAGAAAACCAACCACATATATACAAGCGGAATGTGTAAATTTTGGTGCCTCAGATGAAGCAAACCGTAGTATATAGTACAGACACCAAGGTCACTTCAAGACTGCTGAATGCTGATGTTGAACAATGCAGAGAAACATCCTGAATCTGAAAATTTTAACCAACGGTGTTTATATTCATCTGAAGTGGGTTTGATCAAACAGTGGTATCAAGGAGTTTGAGAGAGCTTTAGAATGTCACACGTCCTAATCAAGGACTTTGATTGCATTTAGGTTTGGAAGTTTGTTTATATTATCCATGTTTTTTTATTATAGGTAGTTTTCCAGTATGTTTTCGTGGCATGTTGGATCTTGAATAAAGCTCTTTCCATGTGACAGGTACGGAGTAATTCCCTCAACATTGGGTGGACTTGTTTTTGTTTTTATGACAGGCCACAAATTGCAAGGATTGAAGAGGAACTTCTCTAATGAGTGAAGCCAAAAGCATTAAAGTTGCAATGAAGAAATTCATAAATTCTTTCAAAAATGTCAACCAGTTTAGATGCAAAAGTTAGAAGGCTATGAAGACTTGGATTTAATTTCGGAGAAATTCTTCAGATTTAAAGTATCGAAAAGTTTTGGTCCCATGGCTTAATGATGGAACAGAAGGTATATTTTAGCATGAGGATTGAAAACAATGGCACCAGCTGGTATTTGGACCATATCAGGCATTTCATACAAATAACGCTGTCCGTAACGGTACAGTTAGTATGTTATTAGCCTCAATCTTGAATGCACTAGAGCTCTCAAGGACATTGGTAGATAGCGATACACCTCTCTTTAGCATTGTACATTTGGTACATTTTCTTCTGGTGTAGTGAGTTTTTTCCTATTTTGATGAAAGGTTCAGGTTGATCAGCTACTATACCTTTTACAATTAATTCTGGATTCCAACCAGATATACCGTGCCTCTTAGCTTTTGCTGCTTAGGCATTTCTTCGAGTCATCTCTTATACGGACAAAGAATTGACAGATATGAGCGGATCTATAGTTCTATACAGCAACATGACAGCCAAAATGTTCAGTCTCTAATGCTCACTCTCCTATTCTACGTACATTGTGGGTTCACCAGGAGAATTTAGTTGTTGCAATTGAGAATGAGAGCGTAAGCTTTATGACAACAATACTAAGACAAAATTTGGAATTTACTGGCTCTTGTGGAACTGAGTCTCGAGTTAATTTTAAGTCGCAAACATCTAGCAAAAGCCTTAAATGTTCATCCTTTGTTTATACACAATTAAAACTCTATACGTAAATTTATGAATTCTACAACCACGATATCAAATTAAACTCGAAGATGCGTAAAACAGAACACGAAGATAATTTGACATGTAAGTTTGTATACGGCATGACTTGTGTTAATGTATTCATGGCAATACAACTCTTATCTCCAAATAGATGGCTACTATGTGACAGATTTGTATTTCTATAGAACATATTATAATATTGTATTATCATAATCAGTTAAACCGCTATTCATTAATGCAATCGGGTTGTTAGAGTTTAGCCTTCCGCTGAGTAGAGGAGAGAATTGATTGCAGAGGTTAAATATGTTGCACTGTACGTATATCAGCCTCATCTTTTGAACCTTGCATAATGGCTACTGGGTCTTCCTTCAGGATTCTCATTGGAATCTAGCACGGAATCATCGTAACCTGTTCACAAACCTTCGCAAAGGGATGATGCTGTGCCATGCCGTGCAGACTGTTGGCTCGCGGCATGGCATGAATACCCAGTAGAATGATACACGGACACTTCCTCTAAGTAGATTGGAAATATACCCAACAGGCACGTATGATAACTGGGTGTGGAGTTAGTTTTGTTCTAGCAAATTAATTACACCTACTGATGCAAAATTATGTCAAATTTTGAACTATTTGTGTTTAAGATTCTTGAGACAGTTCGACAATTATTTCTAAACATATATAGTACATAACTCTATAATGTATCCATTATTATAACATCATTGTATGTTTGTCAATTATTTAATACTCGCATTAATACAATATGTCACAGCTTAAGGAATTAAACATTCAATTTAATGATATAATTACTTAAATTTAGATGATAACTAATCATTTGTTGCAGGACTTTAATTTGGTGGTCCATTCAATCCATGTAGTAAAAAGCATGGCATTGAAGCACTAGAAATCAGGGTACAAAGTGCCAAATCACTGACAATGTGCTTCAATTGATGGTGCTTTGCATCCTATGATATCATTCACAAGCTAGATACGAGTACTTTTCTTCCTTTATAGTTTGATCAGATAAAAGAGAACAAAGTTGCTACAAGTTATTGTTAGCATATCCATTCTTTATGTCACTACTCACTAGTAATAGAAGAAGTTTTATTCAAAAGTTGAGAAAGAAAGAAAGAAAATGGGTCAGTTCAAAAGCCACACTAGCCGAAAATTAAAAGCTTCATCAAGCTAAACTTTTGATGATGAAGATAAGATTAGGATATAATTTGATCCATCTAATTTAAAGCACGCACATTGAAAAAATGGCCTCTGATAAGAAATTGTGGATATGTTTTTGAAGTTTTTTTGCGTCCTAAATAAATAGTCACATCACACATGTTATTTTATGAAAATTTGAAAAAATTGTCACAATTTCTTAAAAGTTATGTAGTATTTTATAATATATTTTATTTCTAGCTTGTAATCATGGACTACCCTTATATTATGACTTATGAGAGATTTGAACAATCTATTTGTGATTTATCCTACACGTATATGTTTTGCTTTACGTAAAATTATTGTAGGAAGTATGATAAAAACGAAAGTGTCACTCAAGAAATAGAGGAGAGGACCACAAGTCCATGAATAAGGGTATTGTACTTGGCCTTAATCTTCAAAGCAATGGTGCATCCTAGGAGCCCACCAATGTTGGATACTTCCTTCTCTCTTATATACAGAATCAATCAACAAAACCATAAATAGCGTGATAATTTAGGCCTTGTTTGGCAAATGGATGTTAGCGGTTGGTGGTTGGCTAGTGCACTTGGCTTGTTCGACTAACTGAAATGTTTGGCTTATATTAGCTTTTAAAATTAGCTGTTTATAAAAGTGTTTGGAAAATTTAGTTGTTGGCTGTTGGCTGTTTATTAGATAATTTGTGGGTCAACAAGCCAAAAGCCAACAAAAAAAGCTACTCAAAGCAGCTTTTTCATTTTGGCTTAAAAGCCAGTTTTTTTGCTGAATGAAAAGTCAATTACCAAACACTTTTTTTTTACTGTTTGACCACAAAAAAACCAAAAACTAACCAAAAAGCCATTTACCAAATATGACCTTAATCCTCTTGCATGTAGGTGTATCTTGTACATGGTCCATCTTTATTTATTTATTTGGAATAGCCCGAATAGGTGATGTTGAATCCAAATCAAAGTTACAACATAAAATGAGTACCAATAACAATCTTTTTTTTTTAGAACAGTACCAATAACAATCTAGATTACTGTTATTATATGCTATATGCTTTTTTTTTTCTTTTTTTTTTTTTTCTGATTTTATTATTTGTACAAGAATTAAGAAAATAGAAGAGAAATAACTTGAATTTTTTACAGTAGTCTTTCGAAAAATAACTACCATAAACTTAACTATATGGTAGGATGTGATTGGATGTAGTTATCCACATCACCTTTGACTTTATAATGCCTAATTTAATTGAAATTCATTTTTCTAATTTCAGAAATTCAATTTTTTTTCGAAAATTAAATATTCTAATTTCTAAAATTCATAATTAAATTTAGAAAATCAAAATTAAATTAAAAGTTAAAATTAAAAAAAAGGGAAATTCTCAATGGTGACCCCCAACTTCTGCTACACACCAATGGTAACCCTCTTGAAAATTAATTATACAAAATGACATTTTTTAAGAATTTTATCCCAAATATGACATTAATGAGTGTTTTATTATTTAAAAAATTAAACTATGGTTAGATTTTTTTTTTTTTTAAAAAAAAAAAAAAAACAACCAGCCACCTTCACCTAGCCGCTGCCACCTCCTTCACCATCAAACAGCCGGCGCCGCCTCCTTCACCATCAACCAGCCGACGATACTAGCCGCCGCCGCAACCTTCGCCTTCAACTAGCCGCCACCACCACCTCTACTTGGCCTCATTCTTACCCCAAACCGAAATCCCCCACCAGACTAAGACCCAACACCTCCTTCAGACCCAGAACCAGACCAGCGCTCCTCCTCCCACCATAGCCCATAACCCTCCCTTTCTATCTCCTCTGAGTCTCCTCTCCGCCAACAACAACCCGAAACCACCCCACCTACCCACATCTGAAAGTGATTTCGGTTCAGGTGGGGGTTACTAGGTTTGGTTTTCAAGCGAGGGTGGTTTCGGTTCAGCTGGTGGTGGGTGAGGGGGAAGGGAAGGGGGCGGAAACTGGTCAGGGTTTGGGGCGTTTGACGGTATAAAGTGGTTGTGGGGTTTGGGTTTGACGGTCTGGGGGTTTGGGTTCGGCGATCTGGGGGTGGTCATCGTTCCGATTTTGACGGTCTAGAGGTGGTCAGGCAGTAGGTCGCCAGTAGTGAAAGGGAAGGAGGATAGGGTGGCTAGTTGGTGGAGATGGTGGTGTGGGTGGATGGGTTGGTGGTTGTTATTTTTGTAAAGTGTTATTTTTTTTAAAAAAAATTAACCATAGTTAATTTTAATTAACTATTTAATGAAATAATGTTATTAGGGGGATAAAATTCTTAACTAAGGTCATTTTGTATAATAAAAAAAAGGGAGGTTCATTGGTGCGTAGCAGAAGTTGGGGGTCACCGTCGAGAATTTCCCTTAAAAAAATTGTTCATTAATGTTCTTCATCCAAAGTCAAAACTTTTTGAAAATTTGTCACTTTTATTCAGCAATTCTTTAAATGATTCAATGTTAGGTTAGATCTATCCATATTGTTCATCACTTCGTATTGTATCATTTCATTTTTTTTTTTCAATTTTCAATTATTAGGTATTTGTTCTTCAAAATTCTTAAGAACAACATATTTTTCATTTTTGAAGAACAAATACCTAATAATCGAAAACTGATAAAAAATAAAATGAAATGATACGACATAAAATGAAATGATGAACGACATGGATAGATTTAACCTAACATTGAATCATTGAACGAATTGCTGAATAAAAGTGACAAATTTTCGAAAAGTTTAATTTTGGATAAGAACAATGAAGAACTTGATGATTTAATTTTAATTTTAATTTTTTATTTTGATTTTAATTTTAATTTTGGTTTTCTAAAATTAATTATGAAATTAAAAAATGAATTTTATAAATTAGAATATTTAATTTGAAAATAAAAAATGAACTTTAATTATATAAGGCATTAAAATGTCAAAACTGATGTGGATAAATACATCCAATCACATCTTGCCACATAGTTAAGCTTATGATAGTCGTTTTTCAAACAACCACTGTAAAATCATCCAAAATAACTAGGGTTACGTTAAAGATGGTAAAAGTAAGCACGTAGGCAAAATGTAGGTCATTTAGTAAGGTAAGAGATGTTGAAAGGCAAAAATTAATTGTAAAATGTGGAATAGAGTATATGTATATAGAATATATAGGAATAGATCGATTAGACTTATGGAATGGGAAAAATATCAAGATTAAAAAGGAAAAATAATATTTTACTACGTAGTAAATTGTTGTTAAATTTGAGTGGCTCTCTAAATAAGAAAAAGAAAAAAAATAAGTGATATATAATTTTAGATTCATCTCTAAAAGCTCTTTATGTTTTTTTTTTCTCTTCTTTTTTGAGACTATAACCATTCAAAAAGGAAGAACGTTTAGAGATGGAGGAACTTGAATTCAATATCATTCATATATTTATTTAAGTTAGTTTTTCAGCGGTATAGTGGTACTTGTATATTTGGATTGTTGTACACCGCATGTGAATTTGTGATGATTGTGGTTCCAAATCAAAATTTAAA